AAATATTTATCTATTTCAGTAACAAGAGTAGTAATAATACAAAATTAGCAATGAAATAAGTGAATTTAAACTATAAAATGTTCTCTAGTATACTTTATATATTTTTTTTCAAAGCGGTAATCCATACACCCAGAATTAGTATAAAACAGGTACTTATTAACTTTGTTACACAGTTGATTCAGTCAAAAATTGAAAAAGATGTAGCAAGAGCTATTCAGCAGAACGTCGAAACGCAGTGTAAATAAAAATACAGCATTGGCTTTCGTGAATTTCCATATGATGTTTACTTTACTATTAACCTCCGACCAATAAATAACCACAATGCATAGGGTCGACGTTACAGTAAAAAAAGAATTTATTGTTGCTTCACAATATAAAATAATAATACTGGTTATTTTTGGCTGTTATTTTAGACACGACACAATTCTGCTGTCAAATTCAAAATAAATACAAAAACAGAGAGCTATTGACCATTTGAGGAAAAGCCCCGCCGAAATGATAAAGGCCCTCACACGCAAACTGACTAAGAGCGATACAGAGGATATGGCCCTACACACGCCAACGCACTAAGAGCAATATATAATGCGAGCCTGATTATATCATATATACATGGCGTTGAGAGTTGCGCCGCCTAATATCAACTACCGTGCGGCGCCACTATCAACGCTATGTTTTCTGTTACAATCAGGCTCCCTGAATATGCTAGATGTCGGGCTAAGACATGAAGGCCAAAACAGTTAAGTACATATAAAATATAAAATAAAATAAAAATAATATAAGCATGGGTATAAGGCTCTTTTATCTAAGCGGAAGAGTAAGACATGGACGAGCATGGTACGAGCCTATGAATTTATATAACAAGGATCTCAAAAGTCATGGAACTATATAGATATGCATTTGTGTATAAATGCATGTACAGTTGCGGTCACGGAATAGTTTACACCTTACTTTTTATATTGTAATACTGTAAAATTGCAGTGTCGTACGGATTTGATAAATGTTAAAGTCAAAAAATTTCAAAACGTCAATGCTTTCGCGAGTGTTCAACAGTAAAATAAAAGTATATTAAACTCTTCCAAAATGGTTAGAATACATTTGAATTATGCGCAAAAAGCAAGAGCAATTGCCAAACTCGAAGAAGGTTGGTCACTAAGGCAAGTTGCTGCTGATTTGAACGTGAGTCATATGTGCATATGGAAGATTAAACAAAGATGGGATAATTTTCACTCTATAGCACGGTTGGGCGGTTCAGGAGGGCAGAAGATTTCCACAGATCAACAGGATGAGATGTTAGTAGATTATTTGAGAGAATCTCCTTTTGCCACAGCTCAAAAGGCAAGAGAAGAGGCAGCGTTTCCAGGCAGTATTCGCACTGCACGTCGAAGAATTAAAGCAAGTGGACTGCTAAATTGTGTAGCTGCACGGAAACCTTTTTTGACTGAGGATCACAAGAGGAGACGAGTTGAATTTTGTAATGAATTTATAAACCGCGATGAGAATTTTTGGTCTAGGGTTGTATTTTCCGATTTCAGTCGTATAATAATGGTCGAATAAGAGTTTATAGGCCGAGAAATCATAGGTATGATGAACAGTATACGCATCATTTAAGAAATAGTGGAGGATTCTCTGTCAACGTATGGGGATGGATAAGTGCCGAAGGCCCGGGCGTTTGTTATCATGTAGAGGAGAAGTTAACAGGATTATATTACAAACATATTATTGAGCACACAATGTTGCCATCGGTGATCCAGAGATTCCCCAACAACGACTTTATCTTCCAACATGACAATTGCCCGGTGCATACGAGTAGAATTGTTCGAGAATGGCTAGAAGAAACTGATGTTTATGTTCTTCCGTGGCCTTCCCGTAGTGCAGACTTTAACCCCGTCGAAAATGTGTGGGCAGAGTTAACAAAGAAACTAAATGAAAGAAACCTTAGACCACGGAATAGAATTGAATTATGGGAAGCAATTGAGCAGGCATGGTAAGAGCTTGTTAACTATAACATGAGGGGATTGGTGCTATCTATGAACAGAAGACTGCAAAATTGTATTGACAAGAATGGGGCTTCCACCAAATATTAATTATTGTTTATCATTGTTTATCGTTATTTAATATAAAATAGATTTAAAATAAAATGCATATTAAAAAAAAGACTTCTTTATTTTCGTTATTAAGATCATAATACATTTTATTCAAAAAACTGTTTTCTATATTTTTCATTTTGTAAAATATTTTGATATTTTAATTTTAATCTACCTATTCTAGCTAGTACACCACTGGCAACGTCACTTTGACGTAAAAGGTGCGTTTAAACGAAGTAAAAATTTAAAAAATGGGCTCCTAGATACGTGAACCTGTAAACTATTCCGTGACCGCAACTGTACATTACGATATAATATCACGTATATATGTAGATATATTCGATAGCTTTTAATTCCACAACTTTTGAGTGTACAAGTGCGTTCAAATTCACGATTCATTTTTCAAAGTCTTTTGAGGTTATGTAGTAAAAACATAGAGAAAACGGGGTTTTCGGTTTTTCAGAAAGTTGTGAGATAAAACTAATGCTTTGAATAACTGATTTTTATTGTAAAGGGAAAGATACATGTGAAAATGTAAATTATCATTTATTTAGACACTGATTTTAGAGGTTATATAGCGAAAGCTTAAAAACAACGCCGAAAAAACGGGGTTTTTCGTTTTTTTTTAGCATGCTGTAGGAAAAAAAATAATAGTTTTAATAGCCTGTTCCGATTGTAAAGGTAAGAATACATATAAAAATATGAATGCATAATTTTTTTTTCTATGTAATACTTATTTTTTTTTTGTTTTGTTCCTAGGCCCATACAATTTATAAGGGGTGGGGGTGCTTCAGAAAAATGCCAAAAAAAAAAACAGTTTTTTCGAGTTTTAGGCATTTTCCACGTTGAAAATGATAATAATACCTATGCCATTCGAAAGAACGGGAAAAAAACCCATAAAAAAAAACATTGTTTTAAAGTTGGCCAAAAATTTCCGACATAACCTAAAATATTACTGAAAATTTCAAATATTTTTTCTTGGCTCAATTTTCAAGCTAAAAATCTGAAAAAAATCAGGTAGTATTGTATTATTAAACTACGCTTTCATGAATTTTTTCAGATTTTTTGCAGCAATACAGCGTCTAAAAAAATTTGTTTTCTTTAAATACGTTTTTTCCCATATCGAACCCCCAGAGGCACCTAAGGACTTGAAAATTTAACTGAGTGAGTTTTAATTATGTCCTTTCGAATGGCCAGGCCCAAAACTAAATCGAGCATGGTGCAATTTTGACCATCTTATCCCGCTATAGCCTTTACAATCACTTGTATGATCTTTCTCAATGATCTTTCAAAATTGTAGCCAACCTTCTCAATTGGAAAAAGTAAATATCTGGCACAATGTTTGTTGTTTGCATTCATGAAAAAATTGACAATCTCATCATTAAATCTACATATTACGGTTTTGTTTGAGTAAGGTTAATGCAAGAAAATAAATAAAGGGTGTTTTTTAAATGTATAGATCTTTAAATGGAATAAAACAAAGATGATTTTTATAAATTGACAGAATTGACTATATTCGAAAGATAATCTTTTGGCATTATATTTTAAGTATGATTGCTAGCATATGACCGTCATGGCCTCTGACGTAGTATAATCTGGAGGTTCAATTTTCGATCATTTTTTCCAATATATATGCTGCTGTATATCGGCAATAACGGGGCAAATGTTATCCTTCAAGTGGTCAATCGTTTCATGCTTATCGGCGTAGACTATCACGTTCACATACCTCCACATAAAATAGTCTAGTAGTGTTAAATCGCACGATCCTGAAGGTCAATTCACGGTCCGAAACGCGAAACTATGTGGTTAAAAAACGTTTCCTTCAATAAATCAATTGTGTCACAAGCTGTATGACATGTTGAACCATCATATTGAAACAACAGCTCCTGCATATCATGGTTGTTCAATTGGGAAATGAAAAAGCCAATAATCGTGGCTCACTAGCGGTCACCATTGACTGTAACGTTCTGGCCAGCATCGTTTTTAAAGAAGTACTATCCAATGATTCCACCAGACCATAAAGTACACCAAACAGTCAATTTTTCTAAACATACATTTGAGGATTATCTTAATTCCAAATAGGACAGTTTTGTTTGTCGACGTAGCCGTTCAACCAAAAGTGAGCTAAGTCATTAAACAAAATTCGTTTATGAAAATCGGAATTAACGGCAATATTGTTTTGGACCCACTCACTGAATCTACGAATCTACGCCTTGCTAGGTGATTATGTACCTTTAATTCTTGCATGAGTTCGATTTTGTAAGCACACAAATTAAGATCTCTCCGCAAAATATTCCATAAAAAGGATGGAAACGTATCCAACTGCTTAACACGATAGCAGATAGACTGATTCGCGTCTTCCTGTATGCTACGCTTTACAGCAGCGGCAAGTTCTCCTGTGCGCAATGTAGGATGTGTCTGTGGATGAATATTATCAGTTAGAGTAAACGTGATGCAAAAACGTGTTATGGTGAATCGAATTACTTGGTCTGATGGTATGTTGACCATAAAATGGACGTAGTGCGCGATAAGTATTTTGAACAGAACCACAGTTTTTAAAATAAATTTGTACAATTTGGAAACGTTGTTCAGGCTCTAAGTCTATTTATGCTGAAATGCCAAACCTAAATTAACATAAATCACTTGACAGCTGTCAAAATGGCTGGCAGTCAAAAAAGTGTTGAAAACTTACATTGCTATACCTCTAAAAAAACACCCCTTATTTATAATAAAATGTACCTATTGTAATAAATTCTAAAATTTTTAGAGATAGTTTAACTGTTTAGGACTAAAGGCGATATTTGTTTAAAATTGATATCGACCATGAAAGAGATTATAGCCGAAATTAAATGTATTATTTAAAAAAATAGCATTTGATCAATATTTAAAAAAATGTATGTATATGTTTGTACTTACTGTAATCTTTTAGCAAAAGAATCCATAAATATTTTGTTCTGATGATCGGAAATTTTCCATACGCCCAATCCAAGTCCTACGACGTGTATATACGCCTTGGTGGATTTTTGTTTTGCTCTTGAGTTAGCTTCAATCAGTAGCGTATCTATAGATATTGTTAGTCTTTTGTAGTATAAATGATTATCAAACAACATATCTTTATAAATGACGTGAAATTTTTCATCTACCCTCTTTTTCCTCTGGATTGCTTCTTCGTATGTGAAACATTCTTCGTCATAAAACGATGTAAACAATTTTGGAATAGTATGTTCAACGGAAGTACCAAAGCCATTACTGGTAGTATTTTGCTTTTTATCAATTACAATCTCCTGGTATTCCATAACATTACTCTTCTCTAATCTTGGTCCTATTAGTCCTATTATTATACCCTCTTCTTCAACAACGCTCCTATCTGCCTCGTATTTTCCAATATTGGTTCTATGGCCTTTATTTATAAAATATGTCATCGAGCTTACTGAAAGCAAAGCTGAGAGTTTTATTTCATCGTATGACATACATTCTTTAATAGACAATATTTGATTGGAAGTTCCAATGGTTTCCCACTTTCCGTTTCCACTTCTATTGTTCAGAAGCAAATAACTATCGTCTTCATTCAAGAAAACAACAGCCCTTTTGAACAAAAACTTATTTATTAGGTCTCTAAGACTCAAATCTCGATAATACTCTTGTTCAATTAGATTTCCATGGCTTCTTTTCAACAAAATAAAATCACAGCATAACTTTAAAACGCTTTCGTGTAGGACTGGATAAACTGAGTTTATATTTGAAGTTAAATTCTCTTCCTTTACGACAGACTTGAGAAAATTGCATCTATTAGATTTGGTTGGAAATTTTATAGGAAACTTGTCACTTTTATCGATAATGTTATTAACATGTTGCACAGATACAATAGCCTTGGAAAACTCATTTAATAATTTTAAAGTATCCTTATTCCAATGAACTTGTGGAGACCAATCAGGTACAGACATTGTAATTGTTTAAAAGTGTTCACTTCACTTGCTGTAAAAAAAAACAAAGAAACAAATTCTCTAACGATTAATACAAATCAGAAATTATATAATATTACTAAGAGATGAAGTATGTAAAAATTGTAAGAATAAAAAATGCTAATTTATTTATGTTCTTTGTTTATTTAAATTAACGGTTTGAAACGTGCGCATTTTTAGAGATTAATAAAGTTCTGAAAGTTTTAAAGTAAAAATCATATTTTATCATTTTAATTTAAGTAATATTTTATGTATTATTATTATATTATTATATTATATTATTATATTATATTAATATATTATATTGTAGCATCCAGAGTTAGCACAAAAAACGCTGGAAACGAAATCTTCCAGAGCGGTAAATGCAGATAGAGACCACTTTCTGGCAATAATAAAAATGAGCACGCTCAAACAAGAAAAAAGATATTCAACCTAAAACCAACTGTAATAAATAGAATCTAGAAGCATTAGAAAAGACGGAAATAAGAGAAAAATTTGAACAGTAGATGAATGAAAAAACCTTGAGTCAACCTACAAATATAAACGAAAAAATATAAATGCAGTTATAGAAAAAAAAACAGACTGGTACGACCAGACTGCGAAACAGAGAGAACACTCAAACATTCCGCCATAATGACATGGATCAACAATCCATCGAATACAGGGAAGAATACAAAATAGCAACAAACAAAGCCAACGCAACATATAACAAGAAGAAAAATGACTTGTTAAATGAAAAGCTAGAGGATGTTGAAAAAGACAGAAAAATAATATACAAATAATAATAAAATAAAAAAATTTTAAAAAAATTCAAAACGACAAAAAATACGCCGAACATTAAAATAAAGGTACGATTCCGACAAAATGACTATTTCATGAAATATTTCTATGAAACGTCATTATTTTGCTATTATATAATGCTTCGAAGTAAATCGCTCAAAAGTGTCTTCTTCCAGTCTAGTTAAGTGCAGTGGTTGTGTAAGATTTCTCCTAATGCATTAATACAATAACAAATTGCCGTCATCTTCTTGTTGCGGTAAAACTTGCAGCATTTCGTAATCCATATTTTTTATCCAATACCTAACCTCTACTGTTATATGACACCATGTAACTGTAGTTAGGTGATGCTGACTTTGGAATCAATATGACAGCAACTCTTGCCCGAAGGCAACTGACGTCTGCAGTTGCTGTCTGCCGTCGTTGTACCGACGTAACTTAAGAAGACAGAAAAAAAGAAGACACCGTAATTGAAGATAAACATATTAGCAGAACCTGGAAAGAATATTACGAAAAAATGCTATTTAATAAACAAAATTGCATTATAAACACATCTAATTTTACACTAACCAGTCTAACATTTAGAAATTCCATTATAAGCGTTAAAACTTACTCTGGAGCAGATAGATGTCCCAACAGACCGCAACCTTCTTATCTCAAAAATAAAACTAAGGACAAAAAATAATAAAATCCAAAAGTTCTAACGTGAACATTCTGTTGCTCAAGATAAATGAAAGGCGCAGAACGAAACTCTACAAAAGAAAGCCTAAAACCTTGGATCATTCAAGTAATACTGAAAATTATGAAACAAAGAAGAAAATATAGAAACAAAAACCCAGATATATACAGAGAAAACATAAATTAATAAGAACAAAATAACAGAAGCTAAAGAAAAGTGGCTGATGGAAACATGCATTGAAATAGAGGCATTGCAGTAAAATTATTATCATTACAATTTACATAAAAAAGTCAGGAGTATTATCTGGAAAATCACGAACAAACGCACCTAACCGATTAGTTGACAAAAGTAATAAGCCTGTTAACCCATTAAGCGCCGTTGATGCGAAAACGCAACATTTTAAAAGGAATTTTTTTTATACAACTAAATATTTTGTTTTTAGAAAATTCTTTGTTTTAATTCCTAAAGGCTTGATGATATTGAAATATATTTTATAGAACAAATATAATTAATTGTTTATCTATTATAAATTAATTTCTTCAGCAGATTTTTTCAATGATTGAAATGAAACCGAAATTGATGCTGTTATAATACCACCAGATGTCGATGAGCTTATTGATGAAGAGGAAATAGATGACGATTTATTGGAAGGTATTATACGGTATAATTATATAAGATACTGTTATGTAACTTTTATTTTTACTGTGCTATGCCTCTTACATTGGCAGGACTTTTAGGTCACTTTCAACCAGATCTGCAGAACACTCTAAAAGAGATAATACATCAGCTTTCTCCCATCACCTTAAAGTCAACAACCATCATTTTAACATCCCTGATGGTGTCAAATTAATTCATAATATTCAAGATAAAAATACTTTACGTTTAGACCTGTATGAGGACCTTGAGATATCCAGAGACATGAGGACTAGCCCCAATTGTGTCAACCGCCAAACTACCCTCAATAGACCTTTTAATCCTATACACCGACAACTATTCCCTTAATTTTAATCAACTTTCCAGTTATTGCTTTTAAATTTCATCTAGTTATCTCCTCTTTTTCTCTTTTCCCAACCACCCTACTAGCATCTAACATTTTACAACTTCCTTATTAATCACCCACTAACTATACCATACTCAACAATTTTCCACCCCCTCACTTTCAATTATCTATTCATTATACTCCATGATAGTCACATACCAATTGATTTCTCACCCACTCATTTTCTTCTTTCTATCCATCATATGACCTCCTTTGATATCATCTTATCCCATGATAGTTTCTTTCTTTTTGTCATCCTTTTGAATCTCTTTTGTGACTCTTCTTCTGACTTTTCACACCTTCTCTCCTCATGTCTCTCACTTCTTGGGGTCTCCTTACTTTTTGGTTACCTTTTCAATACTATTCATCATTATTAACTTCAAATATTAACTTTACACTCAAACTCCACAACCACATTTTCACTCCACCAGCCATCAACACACATCCCTCTGACACTTTCAGTCTGTGGATCCCACTACCACTCATAATTCATATTTCACTCAATCAACTCAGATATGCAGTCAATTTAATCGTCTTACAGCCAACCCTACATTTATCTCTATATTTCAATTTTCTCTAATACATATTCACACACATCTAACAGGTTACATTTTCTCTCCTACATTAAATTTCATTCACTTATTCTCAGCTTCATACATATATTTGTATATACAGATTGAACGAAATAAATTCGGAACATAGGAATATAATGTATTTCGGCTCAATGCTGCTGTAGGTGGTTGTCCAACAAAATATTGTCAAATATTTATATTATAAAAATCCAATACTTCAGTGGGCTGCTGGATTCTGAACTCATAAAAATTGAAAGCTACACATAAATCTACGATTTATGCTGTCAAACCAGTTATAGTCCAGGAAATGAAGCATTTCACCTCGCAATTATTTCGTGCTCCCTGGATTGACTTGAAATTTAACACAGGGTAGGTAATAGCCTAAGGATCAAAATCTATATCGAACCAAAGTGCGCCAAAGCCTAGGGGGTGGTTGCCACCCCATCTCCGGGGTGAAATTTTTTTTTTACGTTTTAACTACAGGTTTCGATTAAAAAAGTGATTCTAAACAAAAAATGTGCTATACATTTTTTTTATAAAATGATATTTTTCAAGTTATTCGCGATTGAAAGTAATAATTTTTGGACGAAAAAATCCACGTTTTTAATCGATTTTTCGCGAATAATTCGAAAATGGTGCATTTTATCAAAAAAATTGTAGAGAACAAATTTGTAGCTTTTAAAAAGACAAATACAATTCATTTTTTAAAATGTTTTTGGGATATAACAGGAACCGAAATACGGCCTATTAATGTTCAGCGGTTTTCTTCAAATGCCAAATTTGAAAGATTCAAAATCAAATATCGGGAAAATGATGCATTTTTGGAAGAAAACTCACAAAACCTTTTTTAAAGAGCATAAATAGACCTATCATAAAAAAGACTCTAGCTAAAAAATTGAGTGAGTTATGATGAAAATAAGGTCAATACCTCATTTTTTACGAAAAAATCGATGAAAACAACCCCCTAACCACCCCCACAATTAAAATCGATCTTCACTCTTCTGAAATTCCCTTTGTACATGTATTGTTAATATGTCCAAGAAGTTTGACCCATTTAAAATGATTTGTGTTATAAAAAGTACAGCTTAAAGCGAGAAACGATTTACAATTTCATATTTTTTACCCTTCTTTTTTTTAAATATGCCCGAAAATACTGAATATATAAAAAAAATATAAATTACCAAATTGTAGCTTTTTTAATGACTAAAATTATTCTTCATTTAGATTTGTTGTACAATGAATATTTGGCAAGATATAGCCGTTTAAAGCATCGATTTACGATCAAGCACCATCTTTTTCGATCCCTTTAAACTCACCCCATTTAAAAACCAAGGGTTCCAAAAAGATTTAATTCACAGATTCTTGTAGCTCTTAAAAACCTCTACAAATCGTTTTTGAAGAAACACTCTATCGTTAAAAATTAAAGGAAATACGTTAAAAAAAACCAGTGAATTTTTTTCCGGAAAATTTTATTAGTATAGTACAGTACATTTCGGAGCATAGTAATCTACAAAACGGTATATTAGCAAGTGGGGCGTTATACATTCGAAATTTTAAGCGTTCTTATTTTGAAATCCCATACAACAGAATAAAACATCTGCTCATATGTCTATGGCTTGGCAATGAAAATATTAGAGCAACAGATTGGGGATGGTATTCCAAAGATGGTTTGTTATTACCCGTACGCATGAACAAACAACCTGCACTCGATGAACTTTTGAAAATTATTTTTTGGCAATGCAAAAAAGGATGCGGTGTTTCATGTGGGTGCAGAAAAGTTGGTTTATACTGTAACTCTACTTGTTCTGGGTGCTTAGGTGAAGGGTGCAATAATAGTCCACCAATAATTGAAGATGAGGATGACATAGATCACGATGAAGATGTAATTGATGACGAATAAAATTAATATTACAATTGTTTTACCTATAAATGTAAATATTTTCAAC